AGAGCCCCAGCGAGCTGGGCAATGCGGTCTTCACGGACGGCTCTAGCTTCGCTAGCAGCATCCCCGAGCTGCGGCGCTGCGGATGGGCCATTGTCCAGCGTTGCGCCCAATGAGTTCCTGTGCGCGCGGCCTACGGCCCGCTACCTGGGCCGCTGCAGAAGATGGGTCGCACCGAACGCCACGCGCTGCTGCAGACGGTCCTGCTTGCTGCTTGGTGCGTCCACCGAGGTGGTGTTCACCGACCTGCTGGCGCTCCAGGCCGAGGCGCACTCCTGGGGCCCCGAGCTCGAGCAAGCCAGGGCCGCCCACGCTACGATATGGCCCCGGCTGCGGCGGTAGGAGCATCGCCCCGACGTAGCCCGGATCCCTGCGCACAAAGACATCCAGACGTACCTTGATCGCGGCCTCCATCCGCTGCTGCACGCTGGCAGCATGTGGGCGGACTGGCTCGCGAAGCAGGGGGCCCTGCAGCACACAGTCTCGCAGGCGTGCGTGGACTTCTGCAGCGTGGAGCTGCAGCACGACGAGCGCGTGGCCTCCTGCATCGGCTGGGCCATGCAGCGATCGCTGAAGCTCGAGAAGTGGGTGCCGTCGCGGCGACACGTGCATACGCCTGCCCCTCGGGCCACGGCCCCAGTGTCGATCATCGAGCACGCGTTGGTCCAGCTGCGGGGCCATGGCAATGCCATGTGCAGCGCCTGCGGCAAGTACTCGGCGGCGTCGCCTGGCACCACGTGGAGCCAGTTCGCGAGGTCGCCCTGCGAGCCCACCGACTTCCCCAAGCTGCGGGCGGCGGCCATCATCGAGCACCTGAGTGTAGACATTCTGCGGCTCTCGCCCGAGGGGGCAATGGCCATCAACGCGCTGGCGGCTGCTGGTGGATCGGAGGATGGGCCATGCTTGGCGCCTGTGCCGCCCACGCCATGGGCCACGGGAGACTGGATGGTCCATCACCTCCAGCACCGCCTCCGCAGGGCTGGGCCTACCGTGCTCTTCGAGGTCTGCGTGGCGTGGGCGGACAAGGGCACGCCCGCTGCGCTTCTCAAGACCTGCAGGGGGATGCCGGCAGCGGAAGGCCACTGCTCGAGAACGTACACCTCCAACCTGGACGCCAGGCGGCGCAGGTTGCTGCAACGGCGGCATCCCAAGACGGGGCTTGCGCTCACCTAATGGTGCGAGCAGGCGAGCAGTGGGGCCGAACCCCCCCCGAGGCAGCCGCCGACGGGCGGGCGGCCGATGCCTGCCTCGGGGGCCATCCGCACTCGCGTGCCCCCGACGGGGGCGTGGTCCACGCCGCGCGGGTGGAGCGCAGCGGAGGCCCCACTCCCAGCGGAGGGGTCGAACCCCGCTTGGCAGCCGCCGACGGGCGGGTGGCTGGTGCCTGCCTCGGGGGCGGTCCGCACCTGCATGCCCTCGACAGAGGGTGGCCGCTGCCATGCAGCTGGGTTGCAGTGGAGACCCCATCCGCTGGCTCGAGCTCGCCAGGTCCTCGCGCGGCAGCTGGTGCCGCGAGGACAGCAACGGTGGTCGTGGCAGGAGTGGCCCCTGACGAGGGGTTGGTCGATGCCCACTCCACTGGTGAGCAACCCCAAGAGCGCCCAAGAGCGGCCCAAGAGCGCTCCAAGAGCGCCCCAAGATGGCCCCAAGACGCCATGTTTGGACCTCCGACGGGGGGGCTGAGTTTAGCGCACCCCCTCTTTTGAACAGTGAGCCCAGCATTGTCTCAAAAGGCCTCCCAGACTCCCCCCAAAACACCAAAGAGCCCCAAGGAAGCACCTAGACCACCCAAAAGAGCCCCAAGGGGGCACCAAGAGTGCCCCAGGTTGCCCCGCGAGGACCGGAAGGGAGACCCCAGGTGGCTCCAAGAGACCTCTGAGAAAACATGTCCAAGGCGGTTGCTCCACTGCATGCATCTACACTTCCCTGATCAAGGCAACTCGCCTGGCAAAATGTTTCTGGATGGGCTGGTGGGTATACTTTTTTTTTTACAGCCGCAGGCGGAAGCGCCAGCGGCAGGCGGTCACGGTCGGGCTGCGGCCGCGACAAGGGGGGCGGGCGCACGCGGGGCCGCGGTCAGGCGGCAGGCAGGCTGGTGGGTATACTCGAAGCGTCAAGAAGCTCCTTCGGACGCTTTGGAAAAAATGTCGCATTCTCGTTTTGTCTGGCTTCCCCCAGCTCCAGACGGCACAGGAAGCTTCCACGATGGTCCCAAGACGGTCCAAGAGGCCCCCAAGAGAGTCCCACGATGGCTGAAGAACCCCTAAGAGGGTCCCAGGAGGCATCCAAGACGGCCCCAAGACGGCCCAAGAGGGCCTCCCGCGGGAACCAAGACGGCCTTAGAAGGCCCTTCGACTGCCCAAGATGGGCCAAGACGGCCCCACGATGGCCCACAGACACCCACCGTTCTGCAAAGAGGGCCCCAAGCCGACACAAGAGAGCCCCAAGACGGCGTAAGAGGGCCACAAGACGGCGCAAGAGGGCCCCAAGGGACCCCCCAAGACTGCACCACAGGAGGCCAAGACAACCCCAAGATGGCCCAAAACGAGCTCAACGAGACATCCTGAACTGGTGAAGATGAAAGGTTTCACATGCGACGGTCGCCCTCATTCCTCCTCCTCCTCCTCCGCCCCATCGTTCTATTCCTCATCTTCGCCATCATCCTCAGCAGCATCACCATCGACGTGATCATCATCAGCATGATCAGCACCAGCATCATCATCAGCATCATCATCGACATCATCATCAGCATCATCAGCATGATGAACATCATCATCAGCATCCGCCTGAACATCATCATCATCATCATCAGCAGCAGCATCAGCATCAGCATCAGCATCATCATCATCGGCATCGTCATTGTCAGCATCATCGTCACCATCAGCATCACCATCAGCATCGTATTCCTCTTCATCAGCATCATCAGCATCATCAGCATCAGCATCATCATCATCAGCATCGTCCGCATCATCATCATCATCATCATCATCATCATCAGCATCACCAGCACCGTGCTCGCCATCGTAATACTGGTTGGAATAGGAATAGCCCGACTATATACAAAAAGAGGTATCTGAAAACGACTGGAAAGTACGTACAATAATAATGGCGATCCTGGCGTTACGAACAATAAGATTGATACGAACACTCATAGTCTAATGATAATAGTCACGATGGTGGGGCTACTGGTAATAGTAGTACACGTGGCACTACAAACAATAATGAACCTCATCATCAGCAGCATCATCAGCAGCAGCATCAGCAGCATCATCAGCATCAGCATCATCAGCATCAGCAGCATCCTCATCATTATCACCATCTGCAGCACCAGCATCAGCATCATCATCAGCCGCATCATCATCACCAGCATCGCCATCCTCGTCATCATCATAATCAGCATCGCCATCCTCGTCATCATCATCATCAGCAGCATCCTCATCCTCATCATGAATATCGCCATCATCAGTAGCACCATCATCATGATCATCTGCATCATCCAGAGCATCATCAGCAGCAGCATCGTCAGCAGCATCCGCAGCAACAGCAGCAGCAGCATCGACATCATCATGATCATCAGCATGATCGGCGCCCGCGTGAGAAGCATCATCAGCAGCAGCCTTGCCATCACCGCCACCATCAACATCATCATCTGCACCGCCATCCTGATCATCATCATCGGCATTCTCACCACCATCATCGTCGAGGTCGTCATCATCATCAGCATCACCCTCACCATCATCAACAACAGCATCAGCATCATCATCAGCATCATGGTCATAAGCAGCCACAGCAGCATCACTATCATCATCATCATCAGCAGCATCATCATCATCACCATCAGCATCATCATCATCATCAACATCGGCATCGCCATCTTCATCGCCAACAACGACAACAGCATCGTCATCAGAATCGTCAGCAACATCATCATCCACCGTCATCATCGTAATCGTCATCACCATCACCCTCCTCAGCATCAGCATCACCACCATTAGCATCACCATCATAACCTACCCCAACACCATCACGATCATCAACATAATCGGCAGTATCACCAATACCATCACCATCCTCAGCATCAACACCAACATGGCCAACACCCCGCCATCAATCGTTAGCAACAACATCATCATCATCATCATCATCATCATCAGCAGCAGCAGCATCAACATCATCACCAACACCACCATTACCATCACCATCACCATCACGATCGTCATCATCAGCATCATCAGCATCGTCAGCCCCCGTCATCTTCATGATCCATATCAGTCGCATCATTATTATGACCCTCATTATCCTCATCACGGCTCTCCCAAGCCTCGAGACACGAGGTGTCACACGCGACGGCATCCCATGCCCCCTCGAACAGTCGCCTCCTAGAATTATGTTGCTCCTATCGGATCATGTTGCTCCGATCGCACTCATGGGCCACATCCCAGAAATCAGTTCGAGCACTCAGAAAAGTATCGAACCAGTGTCTACTTGACATGCTGGCGAAGTGTCGAACGAATATCGACTCCCAGGGCCTGACACGTGAAACTCCTCCAGTTTCGGTATTGTGCTGGTGCTCGAATTTTTTTCTGGTAATCGAGGCTGCATTTCTTTGGAACATCCTGATCCTGGAAATGCTGGGCTGGCACGGTGGCGGGAATTGTCACAGACAGCTGGCTTGATCTTCCTGTGTGGGCACCTGCACAAAACAGAAAGTCCCAGCGAGCGAAGGGCACGATTTACACAAACACACACACACACACACACACGCACGCACGCACACACACGCACACACACACGCACACACACACACACACACACACACACACACACGCATGCAAGCATGCTGCAATCTCAGTGCGGGTGCGCTACGAGAAAGTTGCGCGCACACGTGAGCAGTGCAAAGTTACTCCAGGGACGTGCTGCAAACTGAATCATAAAGGTAAGCTGTTCTGGGCAACGTGATGGTGAGCACCATGGCCGCACGACTCCCACGGACCCCGCAGCTCCCGCGAGTAGAACACGTCGCCCTGCCCACGGCGCTCGCCATGGAGCTGACGGGAGGAGGCACCAGCAGGCGTCGTGGCGGCCCCGCCACTGCGGGGGGCGGCCACCGTCGCGGTCGCCTCCCCTTTCCAGCACACCCCACCCCATCTCGCCAGCCCCGCTCCTCGCCCTCCCCTCTCGCTCACCCAGCATGGCTTCAATCCGGGCTGCTGGCCAACGACGCAAGGAGAGGAAGCTCGAGAGATCGCAGCTCAGGGGAAGCAAGCTAGCCCGAGGGGCGGAAGACTCCCAAGGGGGCGCTCAGCCTGTAAGTGTGTGCGCGGCCATCACAAGAGTCCCCGTTGTTTCTCCGTGTCAAGCAGGATGAGTAGGAGGAGAAGAAGAAGAAGAAGAAGAAGAAGGAGGAGGAAGAGGAGGAGGGGGAGGAGGGGGAGGAGTGCGATGAAGACGAGGTCGGGGGCGAGGAAAGGAGGAGGCGAGGATAGGAGGAGGAGGAGGAGGAGGAGGAGGAGGAGGAGCGACGGTAGCAGCGGGCGCGCGTCTCCCGACGGGCGGCAGACAAGCCGAAGAGCATGGCGCGAGCTGCATTGAGCGACGCTGCCAAAATGTTCAGGCAAGGAATCCTCTGCCAACGCTTGTTTGTTATAGATATGAAAAGCCAGCACTACGCGCTGCACGGTCCGCCGCAGCGAAGGTACGTCGGAAGGGTCAGGCACGTCAGCGGCAGCAGGGCCGAGCCCCCAGATTGCGAGTGTGGATTGGAGCAGAGAGGGCTCAGGAGACCAAAGAACACGAAGCAGAGTGAGGCAGGAGAGGTAGTGTGGAAATCGATCCGGCTGCCGGGCGCAAGACGCAACATCTCTGCTCGAGGACGTACATGCGTGCAGTGGTGGTCCACCGCCCACGACAGTTTTGTCAATGCCCAGCGCCAGCTTGGACGAACCTCCCCGACAACGGTCTTCAACAAACTCCAACGTGCGGAAAGCCTGGCAGGCGAGCTCAGCTGATCCGAACAGGTACAAGCATCAATGCATTTCCGGAGAGCGACTTCAAAAGGCGACGTGAAATTACTACGGCGCAGCACCGTGGCGATCTCACGTTGTACCTTGGGACGACGCGGCACGGCAGCAGCCTGTTGCTGCCCCCGGCGAGCGGCAGACGCAGCCAAGGCAATCGATGCCGCAGCGAACGGCGGCATGCGGGAGCCACAGTGAAACGCCTGGTAGTATTGCACAATGGCTGTGTCCTCCTCCCAGAATGGCGGAGACCACAGGCCACGAGACCATCGAAAAGGAAGATCCTGCATCGCACTCTCCTCCCAAGCCCTGTCCCACAAGCGAGCGTGGGCAGCCTGCCACCAGCCGCCAAGTGTGTGCATAGCCGAGCGCACGGCAGCGGCAGTGGCCTGCACCTGAATCGCATGGGGCGTCGGTGACGGGCTCCTCTCGGCAAGCGACGTAATGTCGACCTTACGGAACGTGCTGGGGGGGAGCTTCAAAAATTTATGGAAAATAAAAAGCTGGCGGCGCACGATCCGCCGCTCCACCGGGAAGAACTGACCAATACAGCTGAGGGTGGTAAATGTGGAGGTGTTATCTAAACGGGCTGTGACGTCACTCCCCCCCTGGACAAGCGCGAGTTGGTTCCCGCGCAACCACAATTTCTGTCCAGGAGCAAGCCATTGGCAGGCTAATGAGGCCGAGAGGCAGAGAAAGCGCCGAGATATTTGGCGCGTCCCTCCACCGCGAAACTCCCCCACGAGGGTAAGATCTCGGCGAGGAGGGAACGCGTTTGCGCCTGGACGTCAGGGGCGGTCTTTGTCCAGAGAGGGGCAAGTACGCATTTGCAGGGCTACAGCCTCAGAAGGGCGAGGGACTCCGCCGCAGCCATCGGCTCGTGTGCCTTGCGGAACGTGTCAAATTCGATCGAGAGCAGGCCCACGTCGTCGGCGCAACCTCCAACAAAACCTTTCTCGGGGTCGGGTCGGCCAACCGAGTCCTCAACGAATGGGCAGAGATGGCGAAGTAGCGGGTCCATCGCGATGGCCCACGCCGACCGCTGGCAGGGCAGCCTTGTGCCACGCCAGACTCGAAGGCGAACACCGCAAAGCGGACGCCGTCGACCTTGACGTAGCCATTCGGGGCGTAGCACAGCGCGCGGAAGAAGGTCTGATAGCCCTGCGGGAGCCCGAATTGCTCCGGAGCGCAGAACAACCAGACCCTGCCCAGCGACGGGAACGCCGCGGCGAAAGCGAAATTGGTGAACAACGGCAGCCTCGTCGGGGCGTCGGCCGAAAGAGAGGCCGTCCGCATCTCGGCATCCAAGAGGACGATGTGCTGGGTGAAGTTGCGACTGGGCACAAAACCCTGCTGAGAGGGATACACTCGTTCACGAACGGCAGCCCTGATGCGATAATTAGCGGCCCCTGCAATTGCCTGGATGTCCGCGTTCTTGAGCGACAGCGGGCGCGTGTCCTCCGGAGCACGATCCGTCGTGAGGGAGCCCGTGGCGTTGTCGCCCATCGGCAAGAAGGCAAAGTCGGAGTCGTTCAGCATGCGCAGGATATATATATATATATACACACATATATATATATATATGATATATATACTGCCTGGAGCACAGAAAGAACGCCAAGTCCTCCAACGAGTCAAGCGACACGTCGCAAGCCAACCAGGCAGCGCATGACAAACAGTCCAGGCCCAGAGCAGAGGCACGAGCGCGGCGGAGGAAGGCGCGGATGGCGCTCTTCGACGGAGCGTCGATGTCCAGTACGTCGCCTTTCGGCATGTGAGCGTGGATGTACGCGGCGACCTGGGTCTCGTCGACGTGCTTGGCAGCGAAGATCGGCTCCCAGTGAGTCCGCAACGCATCGGAAGAGGAGGAGGAGAAGGATTGGTCGTGCCCTGCATGGCGCAGTACTGTCTCGAGCGACACTGCCAAGAGGCGAGGGCAGCACACGAACAACACCAACGCTGTGCTGCTGCGCAGGCGCGGCAACGGGCTCTTCGGGGGCAGAGGGTTGGCCCTGCAAGGGGTGATTCTTATAGCACCGGAAAAAAACAAATTTGATGACGTTGCACACCGCTGGTGGGAGGTGTCCAGATTGAAAGTCCCCCCCCCCCAAGAGACCACATGCACAGGAGCAGGTTCGCAGTGCCTCTCATAGGCGGCAAACGATGCGCCCGATTCTGATGAACGGCAAATAGTAGAGCCGCCGCCCCCGGCTTGCTGGGAGAAATTCGGAGCTTGTCAAGGCAGCGTCTGTACATGACTGCATGCTCCCGCCTGGCAAGATCAGGCAAAAACTTTGGTTGTTCAGTGAATCGAACCTTATCGCCTTTCCGCTTCCGATTGGCTTCTGATACCTCAGGACGGTTCCAAGATATCCCATGAGAGGCCCAAGAGGAACCATTTTGGCCTCAAGGGGTGCGCTCCCACTCAAAATGCCTCCCCCCAGAGGGCAACCCCAAAGACCCCCTGGAGACCTCACGTCAGAATCCCGCCGCGACGCCGACGACGACCACCGTCAAAACAACAACAATCGTTCTAAGACTGTTCTCTCTTATCCGTTCGCGTACCATTCGACACGTATGCCCCAACTTCGTCTTCGATCGTAGCCCCCTTGGGAGCATGTATCCCTCACCTGCCGCGTGTAGTTGGCGCAGCCCTCAAAACAGGAGAAGGGAGGGAGGAGGGAATAGGCAAAGGGAAGAGAGAAGGATGGAGCGCGAGGGGGACTTGCAGGAGGAGGGTCAGGAGCAGGAGCGCGAGCGGCGGAACCAGAGGGGCGGGTCGGGCGGGCGGGCTCTGACAGGCAAGTCGGGCGGGCGGGCCCAGGCGGCCAGGTCGAGCGGGCGGGTCGCTGAAGCGTCGATCCATCATGAGAGAAGGTTCGAGCGACGGCGCGATTCCCAAGCACGTCGCGAGGAAATCCAAAGCCAGAGCGTGATTCCTGAGTCTCAGGGGGCAACGCGCCGCAAGAAGCTGTCAGGAAGTACCACGCGAGAGCACAATGTCTGCGCACGGTCTGACGAAGTCCCGCGCGGGAGCGCGAATGTGAAATCTAGTGTGAGGAAATATCAGGCGGGAGCCGCTGTTGGAATAACCAGGGGGCCAGGCGGACAGTTTCACGGCCAAGACTCTCCCATGTTGAAAGCAGGGTGCGAGCCCCAGGAGGAGCACTTCAACTGGAAAAACGCAATGCGCACTGGGGAGAGGGAATTAGCACCATTGTGTAACACATGAGAACTCAACCATCATTTTCATGCTCCTCGCTCTCATCTGCTCGCGTGCCCCTCAGCATGCATATCCCAAACCCTAGACACCAACCCTCTTTTTTTGGGTCGGACCCCCTGGGGGTGTAACATCCTTACCCACCGCGTGAAGCTGGCGCAGCCGCTGAAACAGAAGAAGGGAGGAGGGAAGGGACACCAAGGGCAGGCAAGCTCTGATTGGGGAATGCATATCCCAAACCCTCGACACCAACCCTCTTTTCGTTTCCGGTCGGACCCCCTGGGGGTGTAACATCCTTACCCCGCCGCGTGAAGCTGGCGCAGCCGCTGAAACAGAAGAAGGAAGGGAAGAGGGAAGGGACACCCAGCAGACCCGACCTGGCGCGGGGGGGGGGCTGCCAAGGGCCAGAGACCCTTGAAGGAGGAGGAGGAGGAGGAGGAGGAGGAGGAGAAGGAGGAGGAGAGGGTCGAGGAGGAAGAGGAGGAGGAGGAGGAGGAGGAGGAGGAGGAGGACGAGGAGGAGGAGGAGGAGAGGGTCGAGGAGGAAGAGGACAGGGCGGGGGGGGCAGAAGGGTGGAGCACGAGAGAGATCTGCAGGAGCAGGAGAGCCGGCGGCCGAACCAGACGGGCGGGTCGGGCCGACGGACACGCCCCAGCAGACCCCGAGGGGGGGCCGAAGACCCCTATGGGGTTGGGGTCTGTTGGGGCGTCGGTGTTAGCGTGGTGGGGGGAGGGAGGACGGGCCGCCAGCGCACACGTCCATCGACCACGACGACGACGACGACGACGACGACGACGACGACGACGACGACGACGACGACGAAAACGACGACGACGACGACGACGACGACGACGATAACGACGACGACGACGACTGCGGCGAC